CCGGAGCGTACAACGGCCGAAACGTTGTAATGAATATGTCGACAAAGATGAGGACAGTAGTCCGAATAATGTAAATAGTATACTTCAGCTCTCTTCTTTATCTGTGCTGAGATTGCCCAGCATTTACTGCCATTTAGGAGGACCGATATTAAATAATCGTTCAGTGCTCTTTGTTTCCAATGGAATCTTAATTTCTCAACACTTGTGCAGTATATGGAATACACCTTTCGCTATCCAAATGCGCCTTCGGATCTCGGTGACGCATTCTCTGTCAACACTTCCTAGATACTCAAACTTTTGTACTGTCTTGATTTTGGCATCCCCAATTTGCAAATCGCATGTTGGGGTGTTTCTATTGCTAACAACCATACATGCCGTTTTCTTATAATTGATGTTTAGTCCTTTCTTCTTGCTTTCTTTTACTACTTTTAGTAAGAGCTCCTGTAGTTTCCTTTCTGTATCTGCAATCAACACTATGTCGTCCACATATCTGTTATAGTGGAACACACCTATTCTATAGTTAATAGACTCTCCCACCTATAATAAGTAGGAGTATTAAAAGTAACGAGTCAGTCAGTCAGTGAGTCGATGTCGGTCGACCGGCTGATCGGTTGAACTCTCTGCCTTCGGGCGGGGAGGAAACCGAAGGAGGCTACGCCGAAGGGCGGATTCTCTTTCGGGGAGGTAAACCGGCCTTGAACCCGTTTATACGGGTTCAATGGGCATATTTTTGGGCCGAGCCCATGGGCTCAGAAATCCCACGTTAAAAAGGTCTTGTGTCACATGACGCTCCAGTGGGGGGGGACTGAATATCGTCAGTCAGTGAGTCGATGTCGGTTGACCTGCTGATGGTTGAACTCTCTGCCTTCGGGCGGGGAGGAACCCGAACGAGGCTACGCCGAAGGGCGGATTCTCTTTTGGGCAGGTAAACCGACCCTGAACCCGTTTATACGAGTTCATTGGGCATAATTTTGGCTGAACCAACGGGCTCGGAGATCCCACGTTAAAAAAGGCCTTGTGCCACATGACGCCCCAGTGGGGAACTGAATATCGTCAGTCAGTGAGTCGATGTCGGACGACAGTTAGTCGAATACGAAAGTATCAGCGACCACAACTAGATTACTCTGCGTAATACTTATTATATCAAGTTCCTAACGTTTTGTACGTCGAACCTATTTTAGGACCGTTTTAGTACAAATACAAGCCTCCACTGCGAAATAACTCCCCAACAATGTTGTTAAGATTGTGAATGCCAATAATACATGTATAGCAGACACGTGTATTACAGCCAAATGTTTGGCATGTAGGCTTTAAAAGAATACGCAAAGATTCCGTACCAATTATGAAACAAGCTTTTAGAAGGAGCTGGGTATTTTTATCGAAGTTATTTTGATGCCAATTACAATGGCAGATGAGAGTCTTCCGTGCTATGATCGAACATTAGAAATAAGCTTTGTCTTCCCCTCCATCTGGGAAGTTGCTGTCCCTCTGAAGGCGGGGGGAAATGGGGAACCGCGTTTATCATCCCCAACATCTGGCGTATTTTCACGTCACCCTGTAAACATATCAACTTTGAATGCATCAAAGTAATTTTTATCGCTACATCTTTGTAAACACGAATATAAATTACAGCAAAGTCGATATTTTGGTATAAAAACACGAGAGAAAATAGGAATTTTATTATCTCTCTGTCAGCAGTTTTCAGCTATTGTAACAGAAAATAGTTACAACGTCCGATTTTCAAATAGCGATTGAAAAAATATTCGCGGGAAGCCTGTGTTAACCAACATGTAATAGAAGAGACCTCATGAAAATAATTCTTTTTATGAAGTAACAGACTTTAAAAAAAAATATTGATCACCTACTCTAAATTGGGTTCGAACTAGTATCGATGTGTTTCTTCTGTGTTCCTTCAGAACTTGAGCGATCATGGCTCTCCAGAATTTTGTGTTCTAACTAGCGCTTAATAAATTTTCTCTTTTGTATCTTTCTTAAACATTGCAATCCTTTTACTGAAGCTCGCTATAAGCACATAAGGGCGGCTAGGTAAGTTATGTGATGTTTTCATGCGTCCCTCTTGCCTTCAATCTGTCCTGCGCGTATCAAATTTTCCAAGCCATCTTTCCTTATCTATCCTAGATATTTCAGTTATCTCTTTCTGATGTTAAGTATACTTTTTTCATCTTCTCTAAACATCTTTTGATTCTCACGTGTTCACTCCATGGTGTGCTCAGCATTTTTCTTTAGAAACATATTTCTGTTGGCATAAGATTCTTTTCCATTCGTGAGAAGATTGTCCAACAGTCACTGCCATAAAGGGGGAATGGTATTCAGCAATACATTTTTTTTACTTTTTCCTGTGTTACTCATGAAATTTTCCTGTTTCTTAATACTTTGCTTAGCTTTTGGAAGGCATCATTCGCTATCACAATGCGTCTTCGGATTTCACTTTCCATCCTCTGTTAAAATACTTTCCAGCTATTTAAATTGTTGTACTTTTTTTATTATGGTGTCTCCAATTTGTAATATGTATACTAGCCTGTTCCATTTACTAACACCATGCATTCTGTCTTCTTGCAATTGATGTTTTAATCCTTTCATCTCTCTTTCCGTCACTACCTTCTGCAGGTAATAACTAGTAATTTCCGGATTGCAGGTAAGCGCTCATCTCTGTCGAAATATCACATCAGCCACTTTGTGTCATCAAGAATGATTCATTGATTTTTTTTTAACGACATATCAACTCCTATTGAGTCATTTAATGCCTAAATTGAATTTTCTTGGGGGTTTTGAAGTAATAAAAATATGATATATGTTATTCTGCTTTAATAATTGGTATTTGTGCATATATATATATATATATATATATATATATATATATATATATATATATATATATATATATTTGGTTGATTGATGAGTTTTAAAAATTAATCAGTTTGTCTGACGATCGCAAAAAGCGTGAAACCCAGGTCACAAACTCACATCAATCTAACCAAATATGTTAGCTCTATCTCTGATATTGAGCGCTTTCTAATAAGTACCGCATATAATATATATATATATATATATATATATATATATATATATATATATATATATTTTTTCACACACACACACACACACACACACACACATATATATATATATATATATATATATATATATATATATATATACAGGGTGTCCCAAAATAATGTATATACTCTTTGAATCGCTATAACTTATTCAATTAATGTATTTTGACTTGTAAATAAGATTAATACAAGAAAAAGAATACACATTTAAAGAATTTGAGAGTAAAATATAAAAAAATACATAGAAAATTAACTTTAATAAGATAAAAGCTACTTGGAGCAATGGCAGAATATTCATATAATGATGAGTTCACATCAAGTGCTCAAAATGGTTGCCATTCTGTTCAATACACTTTTCATATCTTGAAGAAATAGACCTACAAATGTCCAGTATCATTTCCACTGATATTTGAGCACATTCTTCTTCAATTGCTACTTTCATTTCAGCAATTGTTTCAGATTTTCTGATGTAAACTTTGTCTTTTAGAACCCCCCCACACAAGGGTGTCAATATATAGTCTTAAGGTGTGCTATATTTATGGAATAAAGTGCTCAATATCAGAGATAGAGCGTGTGTAAATATAAAAGTGAACATAGAAGTCAACACTTAGAGCCTCTAAGTGTTGACTTCTATATTCATATATATATATATATATATATATATATATATATATATATATATATATATTATTCGTCCTCTATTCATATAAGATATATACCAAAAATAATAAGTACAATCACTACCACTACTTCTTCCGATAACCGAACATTTAATGATGAACAAGAGAAATATGCAAAATCAACAAGGAATTACGGATTTAAAATGAAATTAGAGTATATACCAAAATCAGAAAAAAATAAATAGACAAATAGATACAGAAAATAATATGGCTTAATTCTCCGTAAAATGAGGATCTGGATAGGAATACATGAATTATTTAGACGTTTCCATAAATCAGAGACGTTAAACAAAGTATTTGAGAGAAACACCATAACAATTAGTTCCAGCTGCGTGAATAACATGGAAGAAATGATAAACCGAAAAGTTAAAAAAATAGTAAATGACGACTATATAAAACCATTAAGAAATATGTAATTGTAGAATCAAAACCCAATATCCAATGCACGGAAATTACTTAGAGGAACATGTGTTGGATAAGGCGAAAGTGACAACAAAGGAGAACACAGGGGAGGAATTGATTTACATCAGTACAAGCGGGAATGAATTTCAACAACGATATGCATGCCATTTGCTACCATTCAAATATGAAAGGTATAGAATTAAAACAATATTAATCACATACGGGGACTAAAGATGAAAGGGAAAACACCAGTTGTAGAATGGGATATAATAATAAAAAAAAAAGATGAAGGAAAGCAGAGGGAGAAATTACAATCTATATATGGGAGAGAAATTGAAATTCAGAGAATTCAAGACTAGATAGAGAAACAAATGCAATTAAGTATTTTTAGAACTGTCGACATGTTGACGCATCTCTTTTTAAGAATGAATGTGAAAAGGAACACTAGAGCTAGGGAGCTTCAAATGTCTTCAAATGGCCATTATGAAATACGTGAACTGTGTTAACAAGAAAATAAGCGAAAATGCTATATATATATATATATATATATATTTATAATATTTTATATATATAATGTTTTATATATATAATGTTTATATATATATATATATATATATATATATATATATATATATATATATATATATATATATATAATACTATATGAGACTAAATCAAAAATCGCTACACAATAGCTTTCATGTTTCAGCACTCAAAATGTGCTACCTGATTCGATAATAAATAACTGATGAGTAAAAATTATTTTTCAATTTTAAAAGTAGATAACAACAAAACAAAATTAAAATGAGGCTTGTGGGTTTACCCTGATTAACCAATTAAGTGTACCTACGTCATATATCTATCTATCTATCTATCTATCTATCTATCTCTCTCTGTCTCTCTCTCTCTGTCTCTCTCTGTCTGTCTCCCTCTCTCTCTCTCTCTCTCTCTCTCTCTCTCTATATATATATATATATATATATATATATATATATATATATATATATATATATATGTCTCTGTGTGTGTATACATTTCTGTTCTTGCTTATATGTCGCCATTACGGCAATCCTGATAAATATGTTTTAGTTACATATGGTCGCGTCTTTTTAGAAATAAAATAAATAAAAATTTATGAATTATATTAAGAAGTTATCAGCCCGCTAAAAAAGGTAATTTTATTAGCAGGGTCGATGATTATTTATGACTGGGAGATTAGTTTATAATAGTTTATAATCTTATCTCGTTGATCACTTTGCAAAGTCTAACGTGTTTGTTCTCCCCTGTGTCCTTGGGCCAAACTTAACTGTAGGTAGTGACTCCAGAACAAGTTATCTTATTTTCAAAAACAAAAGTTAATGAAAAATGTAAGAGTAAAAACAGTACTTAAAATATGGGATTCCAAATACAAAATGTCTTTAAATTTATTACATTCGTAGTGTTCTTGGTTTAAATGACGAAAAAAGAAAAAAAAAAATCTGTATGGTTGTTGCATTCAAGACATCTGAAGCCTCATCAGATCATGGCTCCAGTAACAGGTGATCTGGCCCGTTGCCTAAATAACTGCAGATATTCTACTGGCCTCGGCAATCAATATACGAGTTTAAAGAAAAATAAAAAAAATAAAAACAACAACAAAAAAATCCCCCAAAAAACAAATAAAAATGAAACAAAAATATCCCCAAATTGTTAATGCTGATTTTCAAGTCATGCAGGCCTTTCTTACTTGAAAGAATGAGCAAACAATCTTACCATTTTTTCCTATTAAGCACAACCAAAACAACCCCAGTAAGGAAAATAGTAATCTCCCTCGTCGCTTAGATAGCGCGGTAATTCTCATTGGCTTCAGTAAGTTGCTGTTTGGGCGAAAACAAAAACGTCACAAAGTCATAGAGAGGATTTGTATGCTAATTTTCAAGGCAACTGGGTAATCTCCTCTTGTAAGATTAGTGCTGTACAATCTTCTTATTCCCCATTTAGCCTAGACTTGTTATAAGCTAAGTCTAGTAAAATCTAGCGGACCTGCCCTACACACAAGTCTGGTGAAATATAAACTAACTCCATCTTCATCGCCTTCATCTTAAGCAAACTAAAGGACAGGAATCCAAACAGCATTACCAACGCAGTGTTAGTCGACAGAGCGAGAAGAACATAAAAAAACTAATCTTCTTGGATTTCTTGTCTTAAAAAAAAATACAAAAACACTTATCAGAAAGACATCGAATAAGATGACAACATCTGTTTTGGAATGCTGACAAACGGGCTAGCAGCGTTTTCAGTGATGAAAAACAAAAACCGAAAACAAAAACGACTTCTTCAAGAGAAAATGTCCTCAGATCACGAAGCTCATGGCATCCGACAAAAGCAGTAAAATTTAATGCTGCAAAACGCATAGTGCGAAACTATATCAAAAGCAATTGTATAGGAATGTCGATAACAATGAATGCAAAATTGTATTTTTTTAAGGTAATACACCCCAAAGCAAAGCGGGAGTAACATTAGCACGCAAAAGGTTACAGAGGATTGAGAACAAGAGTAAAGGGGCGTGTTTGAGGAAAGGATACAGAGAAGGACGTTGAACAAGCTCAGGATGTCAGAGGTCGATTGACATTACACTTGAATATTTGATGATTATAGCCATCGAGGAAGCAAGTAAGGGGAAAGGAGTTCCACAGATGGGGAGTGCAGGAGAAGAAGAGACAGTTACATTTAACCATTTTGGTAGTGAAAGGGTGGGACCGAGATGCCACTCTAGTAGCTAGTTTAAATTCATGTAGTCCGGGAACCAGCGAAAGTAGCATGTCGGAACAATTGACGTGAAAATATTTGTGGAAGAGACAATGGGAAGCCACAGCACGCATGCAGGATAGTGATTGTAGATTAGATGCCAGATTAGGACCTATCATATTGCATATTCATCTCTGGATTTTGTCAAGGACCTCGAGACGTACAGTGGGAGCACCAGATCATATATGACAGCAATATTCCAAGATTTTGTTGCATTGTCTTTTAATGTGAAGAAGCAATTCTCAGAGATCAGATGCTTTAGATTTGTGAGTTTCATCTTGGTTGGACGCGCCACGTATATGGCCTTTAACATTAATTAAATGAATATATTTGATAAACTTATCGTGGTATGGTGAGAGAAACTGTGAGAGTATCGAAAACACTTCTGTGTACGCTATTTCTCAAAAAGCTCATCGGAAGAAAATAGCAGGTGATGTAGAGTGATTGAAAGACAATCAAAGATTTATAAACAGTTTTAAAAAATTCATAAGCCAAAAATGAATTTTATATAAAAAATAGAAATATTATTATCGATTATTTGTCATCGGATGCAAGTGTCCCATTATAAATAGTTTTAAATAATTATTGAGTGATTTAATCATTGTTATATTTTTGCATTATATCAAGTATTAAGAATATAGTAACTAGGCTCCGCTAATTGGAGAAGAGAGTTATCAATAATAATGTTCTGACTTCGAATCCGTGGTTATCTCACTTTAACTCTCTCGCGAGCATATTTTCATTCCGAAAACAAACGTTCATAGTTCTTCACAACCTCCAGTTTCTTGTAGCCATTACCAACTTAAGTAAATGCTTTGTTTCTAATAAACAGTATTAACTATATTTACAGGCCTGAATGTTACTGCAGGACAGAAAGTTAGAAGGTTAGGGAGGAGGAAGAACACCTTAGATAAGTGGGAAAATGATTCTTGAAGAAGTATCTATAAAAACAACATATAAACAGAAAATAAATTAAAATAACTATCAAACTTAGTCCATTACATAACATAACATATATATATATATATATATATATATATAACTAGACTCGTTTCGAAAAACCCTCGAATTTTTGATTTGCTAATCAAATCAATCTCGAGGGAAAAAAAGGTTTTAAAAAAAGAAAGAGCTACAAACATGAACTTCTGCCGACAAAAAAATCGCACAGATGCAGGTCTGAAGCCCAAAGAAAAAAACCCGATACGAGTAACAACTAACTAACAAAAAGCTCAATATAGCCGTAGAGCAGACCTAGATACACCTAGTGAGCCAGACAAACCTACCTAGGTTTAACCTAAACGGATCGTCAGGGAAAGTTTGGCCAAACTTTCCCTGACGATCCGTTTAATAAAACCTAACTAGGTTTGTCTGGCTCACTAAATATATATATATATATATATATATATATATATTCACCATGAAAAAAAGTTTTTCAAATGCTCATAATTACTATTCAGTGATATATATATATATATATATATATATATATATATATATATATATATATATATATATATGCCCGTGCTTGATTCAAAAATCGTACGACTCATACAGCAATCGCTATCACTTGACTTAAAATATTTTTATTAATTATTTTTATTAATATTTTTTAGCCTTCCTTGCCTTTAAAGGAGTGCACTTTGCCGTGCTGATGTTACTATCTCACACTGCGAATTTTTTCCAAAGATCTATACTAAACATTAAATCTTTTACGAAAAAAAGAACTAAACAATATGAACACAAAACGATCAGCTTTAAAAAAGGACTCGTAACTGGAAAAACCGAATGAAGAAAGAATGTTCACAACAAATACTTTTTCACACCCAACCCAGTTCTGCGGAATCAAAATCAACGTTGAGTTTAAGCAAGCGAATGAGCCAATTGGAGTAAAGTGCCATGCAGAATTAAATTTTTCCCACTTGTGACGAATGCAGCTATCGATTACCGGATTATAAATCTTACTGTTCTTTCTTTTTATATATATATATATATATATATATATATATATATATATATATATATAATAAAGTTTGAAAGGAGTTTATGCAAACTTTTGTAACGTTCAGACCAGTACTTATAAGGTAATGAAAAAGTAATTTTAAGATATACTATTCCTGTTTTTTATACTTCTTCTTCTTCGTATTATTATTATTATTATTATTATTATTATTATTATTAGCTCAGATGGTAAATGAGGTCATTTTTTTAAAAGACAAAGACGCCATAATGATTTTTTGTTAAAGAACAAATATAACAAACGAACTGCTGACTGTTTTTGTTCTTTGTCAATGGGAAGACAAGAAAGCGAATCTTTCTGCTTTTGAATAATAATGAAAAATAAAAACGAAAAGTTTCTGAAATATTTTTCGTAATGAATGCCTTTCAATTGGGAAGATACCTTTACCGTCAATGGATAGATATTTACTGACTATTAAAAATAAAATCACCTAGAAACACGCATAAACGTGTGTGTGTGTGTGTTTGGGCATGTGGGTTGTATGCGTACACACGCAAACACACACACACATATTTATATATATATATATATATATATATATATATATATATATATACATATTTATATGTGTATAAGTGCGTGCATACGCGGGCATAAACAGAAGGATACAGGTGTCAGTCATGCATTACTTTCTCTTTGTTTCTCTTTAAATACACACACACACACACAGACATATATATATATATATATATATATATATATATATATATGTGTGTGTGTGTATGTGTGTGTATGTGTGTGTGTCCAAATATCAATCCATCTCACTCTCACGTATAAATTTCTATATATTATATGTGTACCACCCTCACGCTGTTTTTCTTTCTTTCTTTCTTTCTTTTCTTTTCTTTCTTTCTTTCTTTCTTTCTTTCTTTCTTTCTTTCTTTCTTTCTTTATCACCCTCTCTCTGTCTCTCTCTTTCTCTCTCTCTCTCTACGTTATATATATACCATGTGTTAACAGCAAAATTGTCTAAGTCGTGTAACAACATTAGATAATTGTCCATCGTACAACTGTACTAAATAAAATAAACACCATCATTAGTGGACTTTCAACAGCGGCAACAACTAAAATGGATAGCACATCTAGCTCTAAGAGAAAATTATGACATCATCAAGTTGCTGACGATCAATTTCAAACAACTGGTTAGGGAAGACACCACCAGTAATACTGGAGAGAGCAGTAACAGCTAACTTGAGAAAACTATTTTCCTGAAAAATTGTTTTAAGAGAAATCTTTTGTAAATATCAACCAACAGTAGCTATACGGTCATTGAATGCTAAATGTTTCCTTACAAAGAAACGGTTAATATTACCATTATCATCTTTGATGTTATCTTGACTCTGTTTCAAGATATAATATCTGAGAATATGTTATTATCTTGGCTTGTTTATACTGGGGCTATTTCATTATTAAAATACACAAATTATTTGTTGTTATCACACTATCTCTTGATGTTGCGTACTTTAATTACTAAAAATGCTTTCCTTTAAAAACCTTATCGC